TCCTTCATAGCCACCATTAAGAAGTGGGCAAGGTCGTGGATGCCGCCAATGGTAGTTGGGCGAGGTTCAGGGACATGATGCAGAGAAAGTACAGGTTGGGGGATGGCTTGCTAACCATGGCGGATTTGGAGGCCATGAACAAGGATGACTTCTCCACGATTGGGGTGTTTGTGCACGAGTTTAAAAGGAAGGCGCGGAAGGTGCACGGGATCTCCGAAGAAACACAGTGTGTTATATTTTTGGGTCTGCTTACTGGCTCGGAGGCCTCGGAGCTGACGGGTCACGGAGGGGGAAATGAGAAACTCACCTGGGCCACTATCGACAAAGGGGTGGAAGAGGGGAGCCTGGACCAGGTGGAGCAGCACTAGGTGCGGCTGCAAAAGCGCAAGAGAAAGGAAAGGGACGCCACCGCGTCCGGGACCCCAGGGGTGAAGAGGATCGTCACGGACGTATTGGCAGCGCTGGGGTATGATAATGAGGCGGAAGTGTAGAAGAGGGGAGTGACCGTGGCCCAAGGCCGGGCGTCGGGGGCAGTGGAAGAGGAGGCTAGGCGCGAGGACTATGGCGGAGAAGAGACGGGCTCCCAGATCCTAACCAAGGCCCAGAGGAAGCAGCGGAATTTACAAGTGGGGGGTCAAGGATCCGGAAAAGGGCAGGTCCTGCAAGCGATTGCTGCGCCGCCACCTGCTGCCACGCCAACGTCAGCGACGGCCGGGTCGTCGTGTATGGGGCCGCCGCCGGCTTGTGGGCATTGGGTGCCGCATTGTCAACCTACGTCCTGGCCCAGTTGTAATCATTGCGCCTCGTGCGGGGGTAGTCAGACTCAGCCCGGGCAAATGGTCCCTTATGCGGGCCCAGCGGCAAGTATGGGGTCCCCAAGCTACCCTGCGGCTCAGGGTCAGTTTGTGGCCCAACCACCTCCCTCCCAACAGGCCTCGCAGGTTAGCGTGGCCGGTGGAGGAAACCAAGGACAAGGCGGAYAAGGCAATGGAGGCCGAGGTCAAGGGGGTCGAGGAGGTGGCGGCCGAGGCCGAGGAGGAAATGGTGGGGGTCGCGGGGGTGGTTGGAATGGTCAGGGGGGTCAGAACCAAGGTGGCCGAGGTGGCCAGGGGGGGGGCCAAGGGTATGGGAGGCCCCGCTTTGATTGGCGAAACGCCACCTGCTGGCATTGTGGCGAGGTGGGCCACACTATACGGTTCTGCCAACGGTGACGAGATGATGAGTTGGCAGGTTTAATTTCCTCTTGTATGGACGGGGATATATACGATAAGTGGGGAGAGCATATCGACCCTAGAACCCCGGGAGGAATCAGGAAAGAAGCTCTTAGGCGAGCGGCGGCAGGGCCATCGGCAACCCCGACCATGTTCAGGATGTGGCAGGAGAAAGGAGAGTTGGCCATAAAAGTTGAGATTGTGGGAGATAGCGAGGAGGTCACTCAGCGACTAAAGGCGGGGACTATAAGAGAGGAACCAATAGTCGTCGAATCGGACGATGAGGGGCAGGAAGGCGAGGGAGAGTCGACCACACTCCTCCTGGGAAGGATGGAAGATCTGCTGGAAAAGGTGGGGAGATACCAGCGGAAGCTGCAAGCCCTGTGTGAAGAAGCCCGAGAGTGGGAGGCCAACCTACCTGAGGTCTTCCTTTATGACTCCGGGCCAGAGCCTTCGCCAGGACAACAAGGGTGCCCAAGAGTGGCGACTGTAGGGACGGACCCTAGGTCAGGTATGACCTATAGACCCCCCACGTCGCATGGGAGGGTGCCGCAGGCGGCTCGAACCAGGAGCCAAAATAAGGCTGGGCCTACTCAAGAGCCCAGTCAGGCGCCCAGTCACGCACCCCCTCGAAAGGAGCCGGAGCCTGGACGTAGAAAGGAGGTGGTGGAGGTTCCGGAGGAAGAGGAAGAGGATGACGATGAAGAGGATGAGAGGCTCCGACAAGAGGAGGATCGGCGGGCGGAGCTGAGGGCCAAAAAGAGAGGGGCCCAGGAGGAGGCTGAGCCAAGCCTGCCCGACAGCGTGCCTAAGAGGAAGAAGTACGCGGTCCGGATGGAGGAAGGCTTTGATGTGGAGCGGATGGTGGACAAACTCTGGGAATGCCATAATGACTTGATGAACCTAAAGGACATTCTGGCTTCGGCACCAAGGCTCCGTGGTGAGTTGAAGGGACGACTGTCGCGAAGGCTGGTACCAAATGTCCATCTGAGTACGGTCCTGCCTAGAGAGGTGGAGTGGACTGAGGCAGGGACAAGGATGGATTGGAAATGTGTGGCGTGCGGGTAGGTGGATTTGGTGATAAGGAACCAAAAGTGTACTGGGATGGTGGACACGGGCGCAGAGATGAACATCATCAGGGAGAAGGAGGCAGTGATGATAGGCATGGAGATCGACTGCTCGGACCATGGCATGCTGCACGGCGCTAACTGCAAGGCCGCCTTTTGCGGCACATCGTCAAATGTGATTATAGAGATTGGGAAGATGCGAGCCAGGACTTGCTTTTTCGTTATGCCCGATGTCGATCACCCCATCCTTCTGGGGCGGTCGTTCCTGTGCTGGACGGAAATGTTGATCTTCAATAAGCACGATGGAACAATGATCCTGCTCCTGTGCAACCCGGCGTGTGGGAATTATGAAGTTACAACCTGCCGAACACGGGGTCGGGGAGCGAGAGGAATAGGCCAAATCTAGGCTCGTTCACCTTTGAGGAATCAGAGAACGAGCGGAGACGGCTTTGGGAAGTGCCCGAGGAGGAAGATAGGGCTGAGGTGCTGACATTGAGCCTCACGGATGTGAATAAGGCCATGGAGGTGGTATCGACTCACGACATGGCGGATCTGGAGGCCATTAAGGCATTGAGGGAACATGTTTTGGAGAACCCTCAGGTGGGGGAGGTGGAGTTGGTGTATCGGCTTCCGGGAGGGAGGGGAGGCCCTGCGATGGCCCAGGCCCGAGCGACAAGTCGGCCTTTTTTAGGGGAGGGCTTAAGCAGGGTTCCCAAAGGCGGTACAAGACCATAGATAAGAAGTGTCGCCCAGTTCCCGTGCTCGTCACAGAGGATGAGGAAGCCTACTATGAGCGGGAGCGAGGGTTGATACGACGTATTCGGGAGCACGCATTGGCCGGGCCGTGCCGTATCAACGACGAAAATGAGGGGAAGCTGATAATCGGGGAGCCCGACTTTCTGTCGCCCCAGGAGAGAGCGTTGATGGTGGGGCTGATGAAGAAAAGGCACCGCGCGTATGCATTTAACGACGACGAGCATGGGAGGTTGGATGTCGACAAGATCCCGATGATCAGGATCCACACGGTCCCACATGAGCCATGGAATCTAAGGGGCGCGCAGTACCCCAATCCGGACGAGGAAAATATGGTGGTGGACTACCTGGACGGCAAGATGCGGACGCACGTGGCCGATTATTACAGTGGGCCGTACGCGTTGCCTTGGTTTTATTTTATTAAACCAAATGGAACGCTAAGGTGGGTGCAAGACTTGCAACGGCTAAATGCGGTGACAGTGCGGGACGCGGGAGGATTGCCGAACGCGGACGCATTGTCATAATCGTGCGCAGGGAGGCCTATAATCTCGCTTATAGACCTCTACTCGGGGTATGACCAGTTCCCCGTATACCTGCCAGACAGGCCCGTAACGGCAATGCACACTCCCAGACGGCTGATTCATATGAACGTGGCGCCTCAAGGTTGGATGAATGCAGTGGCGATGGTGCAAAGGCATATGATCAGAGCCATGCAGACGGTCAGCCCACATATCACTCAGCCCTATATCGATGACCTGGCGGTCAAAGGTCCGAAGGAGAAGGAGGAAGACGAAGTGATGCCCGGTGTGCGGCGCTTTGTCTGGAAGCATGTCCAAGATATCGATCAGGTTCTGGGGTTATTGGAGGAACATAACCTGACGGCGAGAGGCCCCAAGCCGAAACATTGTATGAGGGAGGCCACGATTCTAGGCTTTGTCTGTAATGAGAGTGGGCGAAGGCCTGATGTAAAGAAGACAGACAAGATTCTCGAGTGGCCGGTGCCCTTCCGCTCGATAACAGATGTGAGGAGCTTCCTTGGGACGTGCGGATTTTGGAGGAGCTTCGTGAAGGACTTTGCCACGAAGATGGAGCATTTAAGGAAGTTGGTGCGTCAGGATCAAGAATGGGTCTGGGGCGAAGACCAGGAAGAGGCGGTCGGTAGGATGAAGGGAGAGTTTAAGGAAGGAGGCTTGGTATTGGGAGCGCCAAACTATGAGGCCACGGAGGAAAGACCATTCGTCATTGAGATGGACGCTGGGCCAACTGCCCTGGGAGGGGTCCTGATTCAGGCAGATACTGAGGGGAAGGAGAGGCCGGTAAGATTCGAAAGTCGTACCCTCAATACAACTGGGAGGAACTACTCTCAGTTCAAGAAGGAGACGCTGGCGGTACTTCATTGCCTAAGGATCTTCCGAAACTATGTTTTTGGCAGGAGGCTCATCTTGAGGGTGGACCCTACTGCACTGGCATGTTCCCTGAAGAATTATACTCCATCTGACCCAACCGTCGCAAGATGGTTGACCTACATTTGGATGTTTAATTTCGAGCTGGAAAGGATCCCAGGGAACAAGAACAGGGCAGATGGGTTAAGCCGCATCAACTGGGATGGGTCGGACGAGGAATCGATAGAAGACACGCCGCCAGTTGATGGGTTTTTGGATCAAGAGGAGGACGTCCGCCTGCACATAAACAAATGGTCCCTGCGAGTGCCCAGTTGCGTCAGTCACCCCATATGGCTGGCACCAAAGGGGTACGAGCAGAAGGAAGAGTTAGTCCTCAAGCCCTTTCAGGAGGAGGATCCGTGGGGAAGTAAGGATGTTGGTTGGATGATGAAGTTGGCATTGGCAGGTACGCACAGTCTGGTGGAGGAAGTGAGGACAATAGAGGAAGGCCCCACTCAGGTAGAGGAGCATGAGCAGCTAATGGGAGGGATGTACCTGCTCACCAATACGCTCCTGCAGGGAAACTTCGACCGGAAGGGCTCGTTCAGTTACGAGGAGAACGAGATTCTGGTTCTTGAAAGCTGAGACGACGAATTCGAGGAAGGAGAAATCAAGGAGGCGTTTCGGGCGGAGGAGTACGATGGGATCTACCGGGAATTGGGGTTGCTCCTATCATGTGAGATGAGGGATAGAGATGCAAGTGCCAAGGCACAGAAGATGAGGCACCTCTATGTGGTAAGAGATGGCCACTTGTTTATAAAGCGGCAGGTCGGGAACCCCAAGAGGATCATATGTGGGAGAAACTGGCAAATTGATATCATAGCGGCCCTACACGATGGTATAGCAGGGGGGCACAGAGGAGTAGGTGCCACATGCGCGAAGATAAGTGAGCTCTACCATTGGGACGGGATGCTGACGATGGTTATCAAATACTGTCGGTCCTGTATACCTTGCCAAGAGAGGTCAGCGCAAAGGCCTGGAGAACCCCTACACCCAGGGTTAGAAAGGGAAGTGGGTGCAGTCGTACACCTGGACCTGTTATTCATGCCAGCAGGGGAGAATGGGTGTAACTACATCTTCGATGCACGAGATAACCTTACTGGGTTTGTGGACGGACGAACTATCTGGACGAAGACTGACCCGGTTTTGGCGAACTGCATCGAGGAGTATTACCTGCGATACCCTTTTGTCAGGGAGTTCGTGATGGATCGAGGATCAAAGTTTACCTGCAATGAGGTGAGGACGTTGCTTGCAGGGTATGGCATAGTGGCCAACTATACTACGGCCGCACACCCTCAAGCGAACGCTCCTGTGGAGAGGGGGCACAGTACCATCACGATTCTCCTGGCTAAGTGGATAGAGGGCAAACCTGGTCAGTGGCCGAAGTTCCTACGGGCAGCTTTCTTCGTGGAGAATGTTACTGTAAAGAGGACTACCAAGTACGCACCAACCACACTATGGTACGGAAGGCATGCCACCTTTCCCATAGAAAACTTTATGAAGACGTGGAGGCGCCAGGACTTGGAGGTGAACCTGTCTTTCGAAGAACTGCTCGATATTCGGGCGCGGCAAGTGGGGGCGGCCGAAGAAAGATTGCGAGAGGCCGCTGGTCAGGTGGAAAGGAGTCTCATGGAAGATAAGATGAGGTGGGACCAGATGACACGAGTAAGAAAGGGGTCATTGGCAGTAGGGGATGTCGTATTATTATACGACTCCTCTTTGGAAAAGCAATGGTCGAGGAAGCTTGACAAGAGATGGTTGGGCCCCTATAGAATATTGCGATGCGGCGAATTTGGGGCCTATCAGATCGAGGAGCTGGACGGGACAGGCTGGCAGGATTGGGTAACAGGGACCAGGCTGAAGAAGTTCGTGGTCAGGGAATAGGTAAGGAATTCTACCTTTCTCAGAGTAGACTGGTCCTTGAGGTATCGCATGCTATGTTCAGGACAGGTGAGGGAGTAGGAAAAGGCATGTGTATTGTCATAAAAACTTGATGAGCCGAGGGCTAAGCTTGTTGTGTGCCTGCTTGCTTTCTCTCGCCTGTTGTGCAGGTCTGACTTTTCGAAGACAGCCATGCAGAGGGGCGGGAGGGGCGCGTGGCCACGACAGAGGCCTCAGGGAGCATCAGGAGGGGATGACTCGCGCAGACCGGTTGGGAGGGAGTTTACGCCTATCTTCGACGACGGTAACATAGAGCTTTTTCTGGACTCCTACCAGGCACATGCGACACGGGAGGGCTGGTCTACCCTGGAAAGGATACGGCACCTGAGGGGAGTTGGGCGCTTCGAGGAGCCTATTGCGCATATTCGAGAGGAGGCGTTGACATGGCAGGATGTGGAGGCGAGGATGCAGATGCTGAGGGCTTCGCCGATGGGACCGGATGGAATGCCTATTCGATTGGAAGAAGGCAATGCGGAGGAGTTCATCCCGGCCTATGAGCAGTATATGCGCGACCAGGGGACTGGGCAGGAGGAGTGGATGCAGATGCTGCCCCTCTGGACACAGAGGGCGGAGAGGTCGTTGGCGAGGCAGATCCGGGATAGGGCACACGACTGGGAGGACTGCCAGGCCCAGTTGAGACAGGCATTTCAACGACTGGAGCCCGAGAGACCAGAGCCCAGGGTGGAGAGACGACAAAGGAATAAGAGGTCACGGGGCCCAGAGGCGAGAGGGACCACTACGACCAGAGGGGGCCGAAAGGCCTTGGCACAGCGAGAGGGGCCAGCAGAGGCCGCCCGCGCGGTGGAGCCAGTTCAGGCCGCGGGGCCAGCTCAGGCGGCGGAGCTACCCCCGACCTATGGACTCGAGCAGGTGGAGTTTCGCCGAATCACGGGCAGTGATCTACGGGGCCCGTCGTCGACGTTACCAGAGGGGGGAGAGGCGGTGCCGTTGAGGACGCCGCTCGACAGGTTGGAGGCTCATCTCGATGCGTCCCACTAGGGGGTGTCACAGCTGGGAGCGGACCAGAGCGGACCGGCACGGTATGAGCCAGTAGAGGATGAGCCAGAGGAGGAGCCACCTGAGCTGGGGCCTGAGGCGGGGTCTCGCGAACCCAGGGAGCCGCAGACTGAGGGGGTTATCACTGTTGGGGATGATACCCCTCCTCCTACCCCGATTCTAGAACAGGCGCGGCAGTATTGGCCTGAAGGAATTCCTGAGGCGGACAGGGAGGAGATGTTGGGGCCTCCATCGGAAGCTACTACGCCACCTCCGATGCGGGTGGGGCCAGAGGAGGGCGAGAGGGCGAGGACACCTACTACTATGGCATCACGACTAACTGAGCCTATAGGTGAACACATGGATGTGGAGGTGCCGACATCCGGGGAGCCTCCGCCAGGGTCGCCACCCACAGAGGAGGGGACGAGTGAGAGAGACCCACTGCGAGAGGCCCATGAGGCGCGGGCAAGGAGGCCATAAGGGGAGACGAAAGAAGAGAAGCGAGCGAGGGTGCAGGTACACCTCGAGGAGTTATACCAGGAGAAGATTAGGATGGAGGCCGCAGGAGAAGCGCCGAAGCCACCGATTGACCCTCTAACGAGCGAGCAGAGGATTAGCGAGGCCTGGGCCAGCTATGAGGGTGAGAGGGATGCTGCTCGCCTGAGGTCGCGAGAGGTCGGACAGGGGAGTGCAAGATTGGACGAGGCACGAGAGACAGAGGACTTGGGATTTTCAGCCGCCAAGATGGAGATTGAGCGTGCAGATAGGAGGATAGGTGAGGTGGCGATCTCATCCTTCCAACGGTACTCCATGCTTAGCGATGAGTTGGCGGCCTCGAGGTTAGAGGTGGGACAATTGTCCACCCAGTTGGCAGAAGAGAGGGCAGAGAACCAAGCATGGAGCTCCCGTATGGAAGTCAAGGAAGCGGAATGGGAGAAGAGGCTCCAGGACATGACGGCGATGGTGGAGAGGCTCTCGGCCACTAAGGTGGTCGACTGGACGGAGCAGAGCCGGTATGGTATCCAGGGGAAGGAGGTACAGGGGCTCTTTGGCCGTGAAGGGACGACAGAGCCACCTCAGCAAAGAGGTATGGGGAAGGTATTCCTGGACCCAATAGAGGCGGCAGCACGGCGGGAGGCCGAGGAGGGGAGGTTCAGCTTCAGGACGCCCACGGAGTTGACCTCGCAACAGGCCACCCCTATGACGATTGAGATCCCTGAGGGCGAGCTGGCGCAGAGACCCCAACCTCCAGTGGAGGAAGGGGGCCCCACAGAGGAGTCCCCTACGATCCTTTTGGAGTTGCAGGAGGGTGCCCTTACGGGAGCAGCAACATCCACTGAGCCGGAGGCAATGGGGGGAGAGGCATCTCAACTGGATGAGTTAGTGGCAGCTATGGAGTTGGACATGCCGTCAGGAGAGCCTCAGAGACAGAAGACCCCAGAGCGTGTGCCAGAGATGGGGGGGCTAAGGATGCAGTTAGGCTCCTGGGCTCCTGGAGCTGACTCAAGAGAGCACATCTCAGAGCAGCAGCAGGAAACTATGAGCGAGCCAGCGACTGCTGTGACTCCCCAGCCTTCTGACCTGCATAGGGACGAGGGGCGACTGTGATGGGAGGAGTCCGCGGGGGTAGGCCACTGGGATTGGACACTCCAGCGTACCGACCTGAGGGAGGTGAGATGCTAGCAGGGCCGAGTACCCAGATGATGGAGGCAGAGCCGGCAGAGTCATGGAGTATGCCCCAGAGCCACGAGATGAGCAGGGAAACTAGCGAGACGCCGCCGTTGCCTGGGTCCCAGAAGAAGAAGAGGAGGTATCGGGGGAGATCAGACGATCAGTGCTTCTTCTGCAAGGACGACGTACATAGGGCTCTTGAATGCCCGAAGTTCCTCAAGGACAAGGCGGCTGGGAGAGTGACAGAGAGTGGTGGGAGGATGTACTACAGACAGGGGCGAGTGGTAAAGCGGGTTCCAGATGGGGGTAGGGCACAACTGTATAGGCAAAACCAGGAGGCTATGAGTGAGTAGGGACTGGCCTGTCTATATGACAGTAGGACTAGAGTTCCTCTGTACCCAGAGGTCGGGTTAGGGAAGTACGTACTCTGAGTCGGTTGAGTGGGTCCTAAGGGGTGTGCACGTCTGAGTTCGCCGTGGGAGTCCTGTCTAGTTGTACATACATAGGTGGCAGGGCTCAATCGGTCACTGGGTTTTGTATGTGATACAGTTCGGCGGGTGAGATTCAGTTGTGAGATACCTGTGACCGTGTGATTTGTACATTAGGTTTGGAGGTTTGGAAACCTCCTTTACATTTCTGATTGGATCCTGAGAGCCATAACATCTGGGATGTGAGTCCACCCTGTAGAGTGTACAGGGAACTGAGTGCTGAGTTGTTCACTGGGGCGGGCATCCTATTCCTAGGTATATCCGAGGAATTGTGTGTGTGAGAGCTTGAGTTGAGTGTTGTATTGATACTTGAGGGAGATATTTTGCTCTCGAGTATATCTTTGATTCCAGACTCTGTGGGACTTATTCTTGTGACGATCACGATCACTCTCATACGTGTGGATTTATCCCAATGAATGAGGGCTTTGTGTGAGAGATGTGTGGGATACATTTCATGTATGTGTATTGTGTGATTGTGGTTGTCGTCTACTCTTCGGTATACTCGTGCGGCCTGCCCATGGGCGGGCGGAACGGCTAGGTATAAGAGGAGGCAGCGCGGTTGTTTTTGTGACAGATGTATGAGGACCCTGAGGGGTCTTGCGAGCCTATAAGGCTCGGATGCTTACCATGCCGAATGTTTATGGCTGAGCTGTAAAAGGCACCCATAAGTTGGCCCCTTAGTTTGAGTTGTTTTGCGTTTAAGTTGGGGAGACGACCCATAAGAAGGCCCCTCAGTTGAGTTGTTTTATAATTGAGACCCCTCAGATTATGGAAGGTGGGGGTGTTGTTTATTGACAGCAGTGTAACCTAAGTCGCGTGATACTCCATCCTGTAAAGAGAGGGGTGGCTGGGAGACCTGTTGAGAGAGACCCCCTTCATGGGAAAAATGGGTGATAGATTTAAGGACATGGTAAGCAATGTTTGAATGATAAAGTCTGACGAAAGGAACCAGAGTTACGAGTTGGAATCATTGGTGGAACTGAGAAGGTCGCAAGTCAGTGCATAAAGATGTCGTGGGATGTGTGGTCTGCTGTCTCTGATCAAGTAAGTAAGCCACGGCCTCGTGTGAGCCTAGCGGTGAAATTGTTTGTGATTGTGAGAAGGGGCCGTGCCCTCTATGCTGTCCCATAGGGGGCTGGTAAATACCCTTAAAAGTAGGGCAGATCCTTGCGTTGTCCCGCATTGGTCCTGTAAGTTTGTTTTGCGACGCACCGCCTAGACACCTGTGCTAATCCTAAGGCATACTGAGGAGTACCAAGCTAGACGGTAAAGGCTAGCACCCCTAGGGCGCAACCCCTATTGGATGGCTGCAAGCCAGCACAACCTGGCTGTGGGCCCACGTCTACCAGCAGAGTAAGAGTTTAAGAGGTTATGCACGCCCCAAGGAAATTAGTCTGGTGCAATGACGGGGGATACAAGTCGAGTCGTTTGGGCGCCCTGACTGAATGCCCATCAGGAGAAAACCTATCGTTGCATAACCAACGAAGGGACTGCCGCTAAGATAACAATGCGGTAGGCCGTAGATCTGGCTCGATCAACCAGACTATGGTAGGCCAGGATGGAGACCTAGCGTTTTTGTACTAGACTGCAGAAAGAGCTGAGAGGAGATTTATGTATGTATATATATATGTTTGCTTGTGAGGATTTTCGCGAGGGAGACGAGAGTGCCTTCTGAGGTCTCATCTAAGGCCCGCGTCCCTGGGTGTGACTCTGCTTACGAGATAGAGTCTAGCCGGGACACTCAACGAGAAGCCGACGTTTGTCTAGGACAAAAGGGGAGAGGATGGTTTGAGGTGGCCTTTGGAACTTATGCTGTAGTATCGATGCGTAATACACTTGCGTCCTAGTGTCAGGGCAATGGAGACCCAGGTTAGAACCCCGACAGCATATAGTTATGTAAGCATGGAGTGTTGGAGGCCTCAACCCTGAGTCTGTCGGCTAATCGGAATTGGTTCCCCTCTCGTTAGCATTTGGAGTGTGAATGAGTTTGTAGCTTTTTGATTTGGCGTAGCGACGGGGACGTCGCTTAATATAGTCCGATAGGCTGTCGGCGCGAATACCCTTACAAGGGTATCCGCCCTGGTTTTTGCAAATGACAGAAAAATGGGTTTGGTCGGCATAAGTCGGGCGAGGTACGGTCGCGTCCGGGACCCGTCTTGACTAAGTTACAGGGTATGTGGGCGCGCAGTCTTAAGGCGCGCGCGTGATTTTTCTGATAGAGTGAGCGGCTGGTCTAGTTGACCGACCTGGACCGTGCTACGGTTTTGTATAGGGGATGAAAGCCCGTTTCTGGGTGGTGTGCGTGATCGACGGTGGGACTGGCACGCCACTAGGCACACGGGGTGGTGACGGCGCGGTCCGAGTAGGCCGGTGTTGCAGGTGGGAAAGGAGGGTCTAGGCTGTGGCTCCCAGGCCAGGGCACGGCGCGACACAATTTCATATTGGAATCCGCGCCTAGTTGTCCCAAGCTGGGGCATAGCCCTATAGGCTATGACAAGGGACTACTGTTACGGAGACTTAGGGATCGAGGTCGGCAGGCGGCGCGGGAACACTGGAGCAGCGGGAGGCTAAGGGGTTGAGGGTCCCGCGGGACTATCCCCCTTTTGTGTTGTCGAGGGAGTCCGGTCGCGGGGCCCCGTCCTTTGGCACTAGGCCAGTTCCTCCACCCTCCAACGGTGTTTCGGGATGTCTGGGTTGTTTTTTTTGTCGCTCTTAGTAATTTTTATTTTTTTTATTCGGGGGTTATGGACCCATTTTTGGTTGAAGACCCGATATTGGTTCGCGGCCGCAAAACCCACTTATAGACCGGAGGTAGGAAGGTCGGGCGGCCTTTGGCGCCGCCACGGGGCATTACCCCGGTCTGAGCCCTTCGGGGCTTTCGTAGTGATGGGAAGACGACTTATGCAACCCTGCGTAAGAGTGCGGCACAAAGAATTAGAATGGACCCGGACGCCGGCCACGCCAGATGCATACAGGCTAGGGGGGAGGCGGTGTCGGCCTGCGCCAGGTCCTTCGGGACATCTGCCAAAGTTGGAGCGATACGGGGGAGATTCGCGAGGCCTCCCCGGCATAAGGGTAGCGCGAAGAAGGGGAGGGGACCTAGTCGTGGGTCCCGCCAGGTTCAGGCAGGGGCGGTGGAGTTGGCCAGCCGGTATAGTGGGGCTGCAGGTGAGGCGACAGTGCAAGGAGTGGCGGGTGCTGGCGGTGTCGGAAATGTGGTAGTACGGCGTAGGGGGAGTGGTAAAGGTGGGAGGATCGGTCGGAGTGGCGAAGAGTTTTGTCTATCGAACAGTTTTCGACAGTTTTTCGACAGTCGGGGTAGTCGGGAAGGATGCGCAGCGCTAAGTGCTATCCAAGAGGAGGAGGCTGGGGAGACATCAACGCGGTCCGCCTGCTGCCAGGAATACGAAGGGCAAGGTGACGAACGGTGAAAGTTGGTGGACGAATCCGGACGGGGGTCGCGACCGGGTGAGTGCGGAGCTACGGAGAAGGGAGTCGCGCACGGTCAGTGGGGCGTTGTTTGCTCGATTCGTAACAGAATCGAGCCGGGAAGGCGGCTATGTGGGGGTTTTCAGGGCTTGCGAGCCCGAATCTGAGACCGGAATTGCGAGAAGGTCGGTATGGAAAGAGTAGTGGAGGATAGGGGTGCGAAGGGCTATGGCGGAAGTGAAGAGGAACGGGGAAGGAAAAACTGAGTTCGTTCGTTCTCGATAAAAACGAACGAACAAAGACTAAAACCCGGGGGTTTGAGGTCGGGCGACACCGAACTTGAAGTCGGATTGGCCATGCAATCAGTAGGGAAGGGGATTTTTAAGAAAAGCGATGCGCGGTGCTATCGAGAGTATGGGCATGGCGGGGAAAGGAATTGCTTACCTTGTTTGAAGTAGGTGGGGATCGGGAGAGAGAGAAACTGCGAGGTTGAGGTTTCCTGGTGTGGCGAACGGGATGACAGTGTTAGTTTAGTTAGTAGATTAATAGTTTTACCAGGGTAATCGTTGATAGTTGCGCCCGAGGGTGAAGCTAGTAAGAGCGAGAGTATCTGGCCGAATTTTGACGACAGATCCATTCCGCTTTACCGGGGGCAGTGATGGGCGTGGCACGGGGGAGCTGAGCGGGGGTTGGAAACCTACCTGTTGGTCGGCATGTTGCCCGACTAGCCAATACGAGCGATGTGAAAGCTGTTTCGAGGCTAACAACCTGCGTGTCGAACGTGAGATGACCATAACGTGTGAGGCGTGCCCCCCCCGGCCTTTTGTCTTTAGCGCCGGCAGCAGTACTGCGCTGACTGTTGCGGCCACAGAACTACGGGTAGCCGAACTCCTGGTTACTGGGGACTGCAGGTGGCTCCGGGTTGCTGAGGCTCGTGGCACTGGGGGCTCATGAGTTGCTGACCGGTACGACGGTGTAGCTAGGGTTACATGGTAATGCAGTTGGGGTGTCCGCGCCGATTGCATAGTGCATGGTTGGCACATGTTAGCCGGGGTGTAGCTTGGCTAGCCGGTCAAGA